TTACATGCACAATGAATCCTTTTGAATGCCTGATAACTATATTAAATACCATAACGGGAACAAAAATACAGTAAACACCTTCCTGAGTCATTAATAAAAAATAAAAAAAAAATAAAAACAGTGTCCAGGAAAAATTTAAGATGGGCAGTCAAGAGGAATTTTCATTGTATATTGTTCACAGATCTATATATTTATACACCAGATATATTAATTTTAACATGTACAATATACTGTATAATATGCAAAAGGTTGAATAAAAACATGTTAATTTGAAAAAAACTTCAGAATGAATGATCACACAAAACTCAAATATATATATTGCGGTGTGGGCTGCTCTAGGGAAAAGGAAGTACACTCTTGTTTTGGGCTTGGTTAATCGAAGGTCAAGGTCACCCAGAAATCCTAAAATCAAATACTTTTCATAGATGGAATGGATCTATGACACTTATCCAAAGGGTGAATTTCATTACCCCCTGGTCGTCTCTGGGAAGAGAGTAAAGTATACTTTAGCTGACATAGGAAATTACACTTAATTCAAACTTGAAAACTTGTATCATTATGGGATGACCATTTGATATATTGAAATTAAAGCTATGACCCAAACATAGGGCCTGATTGGCAGGGCTCAAAGTGCTCAAATAGGCTAAAATCAATAACTGTCTGTTTGATAGAAGTCCTAGATTCAATTACTTTTCATGGATTGAAATGTCCCAAGGTGCTTTATCAAAATTTTAAATGTCATTACCCTACCCCAATGTAAATTTTAGTAAGTTGTTAAAGATTATCACAGAAATACATCATTATATAGGTTTTATTGTTTTTTTGTTGTTTAGGGGACTGGTCTTCAGATGATATTTGAGGTGGAGATCTGTCTGGATAAGGAGTTTAATCCAATAGACTGTTACACAAGGCTGGATCGCCAGGACAACTTGGCCAGTGGTCACTTTCTCAGGAAACACAAGGACAATAATGAAGGAAACTGCCCCCGTGGCCAGAAAGCCTTTGAGTACCCACCAATACCCCAACATTGAGTAGTCAAACATCAAGGTCAGGGCTGAAATATCAAGACAGGTGCTGAAATATAAACTTCAAAACAGACAGTTACGCTACAACACTGCCTTGTTAGATTACATGGCAAACTTTTTCAAGGAATATTATTTATTTTATATCATTACCTCAACTTATTTACCAATGGCATTCAAAAGTTCAATTCTTTGTATGTTGCCTGACATTTCACGTAAAATGAGTGCACTTCCTTAAAATATTTCTCAAGAAACAATCTTTTTGCGATAGCCTGTTAGTATTAAATATTAATGTTGTGTATGGATTCAATATTGCAGTCTTTCCTAAGAACATGTAAGGACTTGATCAATAAAACTTTAAAAAAACATTTTTTTATTTATTTTTGGTATATTTATACATGTAAAAATTTTGAAGTTTGAAAACAATTATTAGCAAAACAGTTGAAAAACATGTTCATGTATTGTAACAAAACTTGCCATCATTGTGATCCACGGATAATAATTTGTGAACCGCTTTGAGACGTCCTAAGAACTAGGATGTGATAAAGCGGTATATAAGAACCTCCAATTATCATTATTGTTATTATTATGTATTTTATTTGCTCAATAAAACAGATTTATTCGTAAAACATATGTGAAGGAACCATATTTATATTTGTAAATTCATCCTGTAATAAAAACCTATAAAAATCTATGCAATACGAATTGTTAAGCAGGTAGTAGGTAATTTGTATATTTTTATTTAGATTTTTTTTTCAATTTAAACCTGCTTTGTGTATTTTTCAGTTAAAGATTTGATATATTTTCCCATTTAGGGAAAATTCTTCAGGTTTGTTAAATAAATATTTTTCGGTTCATTTTTTTTCAACATTTATCAATGTTTATTTTGAAATCTAGTTTAGATATAGGATCTGAGATTTTCATGACTGGTATATTTGATGCTCGAGTGTGAGTTTACTGTAAATGATCAATGCATCATTCAATTCTACTCTCATATGCTATGCTGTGATATACTGTCAAACACACTGTTTTTATTTCACCTGCATTGAACAATGAATTAGTGCTACCTACATCTCCTCTAGTAGTACAGATAAAAACTATTGTTGGCCACGTTCTTTATACACTTAGTAATCTCTAATGTCTACTGTCTTCTGAATATACATGTATTTATTTCTAATGTACCTTAGGAATGTGATAATTAAGTTATCATCTGTATGTTGGTTATATTTTTTGATTTTGTATTGTTGCTTTTTATTTTGGATCGGACACATGCACTTTGTAATTTGATATCAACGGTTAACTCCATTTAAAACTGTGAAACTGGAAATGTAAGATAGATGGAAGTCAACTATAAAATGAATCCGGTGACAACTGCTTCATATATAAACCGTTTTACTTATTATATGATTTAATGTTTCATTTGTATTTTCCATGTTTCAGTTGACCCAATTTACCTTTGATTTGTTTCTCTGCGTTGTAGCACACCTGGCACAAAAAGCCTGAGCTTCTGCGATTGTGTAATTGCCATTGTACGTCCATGTGGTGTCAGTTTTCTTTTTACAAATTCTTTTTAATTTTTAATTAAGATTAATAAAGTACAGGGTATTGATAATTGCCAAGTACAGAGTATTGATAATTGCCATGTGGCTTGCTTTGGCAAGAGCTACCTACTTTGTTCAAATAAAGACCATAAACCACTTTCAAGGTCACATGTTGAGTAAAATGTGTAAATTACTTCAGATAATGTCATTCAAGTCCATTAAATCTACAGCAATAATATTTCACTTGTAGCTTGCTAGAATAACAGACGATCCAATTTGTTCAAAGAAATAAATGACAATAGCGAACTGTGAATGTCACATGATTTGATAAATTTCAATTCTTCCAAAAGAAGAGATAAAAGAATCTAGAGTAATGACATTTTATCTGTAGTGCAAGCTTTCTTTCTATCAAATTTCCATAAAAAGATTGGCCTTGACCCACTTTAAGGTCACTAATGCAAGTGAGATAAGTTTAATGACGTCATTCTGCAACAGGTGAGCAATGCAAGCTTGTATGTCTTCTTGTTTATAAAGATAGGTTCTAGAAAATTCAAAATGGAGGAACATACTAAAAAGTGCGATATGTATATGGTCTTAAAAGTGAAAATATTTTTGTTTGATATATCTCGGATGTGTGTTACTGGTAATGTCGCTTGTGTTCAGTAGTGGTCAGAATATTACTATTGAGTGCATACCATAACTGGTTAAGCAAGTTATTATTTGTTACTGTTGTCACATGTCAACATCAATGCTGACACAATACATACAGTGCCACATCATATGGTGACTTCAGTTACATTGCCATGACGTGCATTTCAGGGTATGCCAACCCAACATCTATAGCTGTAATTATGTTAGTTATCAGTTCATTATATATTTGAGTTGTTTCAAATTGTATTTATATGATTATGTGTTGAAAAGAAATCTTTACACTTGTGTGTGTTATGTAAGTACATTGTATTTAAGATGTATACTATATTTGAATATGGGAAACATTCCATATGTCTTCAGTGTGTATATGTATCAGGGATGACAACACTGGCCACATTTCAGAACAGATTTTGTATAATTCCATATTAAGGTCTATAATAATGATACTGGCATACAACGAATATTTCACATTTTTGGCATACAACGAATATTTCACATTTTTCCATACCTTTGAATGATTAAAAGAATTGAATTAAAATTTTGTTTTATTTTCCCTTGAAAATGAATGAAATTACAATTAAATTATCAGGCAAAGCCTCCCACATTCAAATGAAAAGAACACTAAATTTTGACAAGTCATCAAACCAAAAGAGAAATACAAAAAGATGATGAAAAATGTGATAAACCAATGCTAATGCTGATGTTCTTTGTTTCATGAACAGAAAGCACATGGTTTCAAAGGTTGTTATTTTAAACATCTTCTAGCTTTGACCCATGAAGTTTTCATCATGAGTGTTTCAAACATTTTGATGTTATAACCCAAGGGTTTGGCCAGTTCTAATAGCTTGATTACGTATGTATTAGATGGAGATCTCAACCATTTCCAAAGTCCCTAAAGGCAGGGGGGACCCCAAGACTAATCATTGAAGCATATCTTTTAGCTTCCCTTGATGCCTATGGTTATCGAGTGGGAACCTCAACAGCTTCTTTGTTATGACCCAGTGTTTCCAAGGCAGGGGTGCACCTAAGTTAAATTCCGCAGCATACCCAGCTTTTGTATATATGGACATATGGGTATATAAAATGTTTTCATGTTGTCTAAGGACTGAAACCAATTCTGATATTATAATTTTGTTCCCAGCTATTGTATATATGGTGATAGGGCGATCTCAACCGTTTCCATGTTATGCCTTCAAACTTAGTCTTGAGGGTGGGGATTGACCCCTTGAGCAGTTCTATTAGCATATATGTTCCCTTGGTTCCGGCCAAACCCCGAGACCAATTCTGATAGCAGTGATTATGGAGACATTTGCATTTCAATCGTGAACTCATGATTTACCTGTGAGACTAGTCAACATTTTGATAACCCATTCTATCTCTTAGTAATGGGACCGCCCAACACTTAGAAAATGATGCTCATGACTCGGCTGAAAAAAAATCTACAAACAATCGCCGTGATAAGATGATACTTTTTCTACATACACAGCAATTGTATATATAATGGAGTAAGTATCTTAAACATGGTCATGTTATCACAGGCTCCCCATAGTCTCTAAAAGGCAAGGGCAAATAGAAGATCATTTCTGATAGAATATAAAATCAAGATAATACAGAAGTGTCAAGAAAACCACAATTTGAACTCAAACTTGATAAAACTAGGGTAAAATTTGAACAAAGGAAAGATTAACTTTGAGACCATTGAAAAAAACAGTTGTTCTGGAAAGGTAAGCGTCTTCTGCATCATCGAGGACATCTGCCATTTAAATCTAGGTCAAAGCAAAGTTATGTCTTGTCCTCACACCGAGAACTGGAGTAGTGACAACAACATCACAAGATACACTAATGAGCATTATCAAAAACATCGCCCTTCATATCGCGTACAAAATATCATATTTTCCTTCGAGATCTTGAAGGCTACCTTAACACTAGTCTTCATCAACCTGCATCTTTGGTAACCCTGTGATGAAAGGTTGTCCGTCAGCAGTCGACATCTATCACGGAGGAAACCCTGTGATGAAAGGTTGTCCGTCAGCAGTCGACATCTATCACGGAAACACTGTGTTGTAAGTTTGTCTGTCAACAGTCGACTTCTATCTCGGAAACCCTGTGTTGAAAGGTTGTCCGTCAACAGTCGACATCTATCACGGAAACCCTGTGTTGTAAGTTTGTCTGTCAACAGTCGACATCTATCACGGAAACCCTGTGTTGAAAGGTTGTCCGTCAACAGTCGACATCTATCACGAAAGTCGTGATATTCGGAGCCAGCTCTTGAGTAACGAAACTAGGGGAAGCAAGAGTGTAACTACCAAGAAACGGAAAGTTCGCGATCTGAAATTCGAAACCGTTTATCGTACAGCTGAGTTGTAAGCCCTCCCTGTTGGTCATTTAATTAGCAAAGATCGAGGAAAGCGGCGTAAGAGTCTGTGGTGTTCTTTATTTCAAGCTCTAGAAGGTACATATGATCGATGTGGTCAATGAATTTCTAGTCATTCAATATTGCCTATATAACTGAATGTGAACTTGAAGGACTTGACTAGGTATTTATTACCCGTATATATATTAAAATGTCTATGCCTTTCAATTGCTTCAATGTTATGAGGAGCACAGAGTTCCCAGGGTAGGGTACTGACCAATTGCAAATCATTGTATGATGTTTGGGATACCAACTATTTCGAAGTTACATCACCCCTTTTTAACCCGCCCATTAACCTCTATCCCACTCGTGGGGTGGGGATTAGACAATCGGTTGTTACAATTTTGGAATTGGCCATAAGAGTACAGGATATGGCAGTCTGCTCAGTAATCTCCTTTATGATAAAATGCTTCCGACACTTTGAAAAGTGTCGTGCTTTATTATAGAGAATTGTTGATAAATGATGATAGCAATTTGTGTTTAAAACATAATGTAACACTTCTCTTAACAATACCAAACGATCAGTATGTATATTTATTTTAAACATCACACCCTCCATCCGAACTACCACCGCATGAATGTTTGTTCTTTGCATAAAGGCTTGCAGGAAAATACTTTTACTTTACGCTGGAACTTAATGCAAAGTATGTGATAAATTATATTTAGGCTCAAACTATATATTACTATCTTACTGACTTGTTTGGAATTTCGTGTCTAATGCACATGATCCTTATCTATAACGAATGACCACCTCTAACATAGGAAATAATCGTGACTTGTTCTAACAACATTAAGGGCAGATCTGTTGCAGTGGTGTAAGCTATTTGTATTGTTATTTATTGTGTTTCTAATGCTCAAGGTTTCACGAAATTGTTTCGTTAAATTTACATTTAGCTGTATTGTATAATACGATTTTTTCATAGATACCATAATTGTGGAAATATTATATCAGTAATAATGGTTAACATTAGCGTTGCCAATCCAGCCATGTCTGCCGTGATCAAAGGCAAACGAGCTGTGTTTTTGGGTTGCTTGTGACCCGGTTGTGTTCCTGGATTTCACAGGTTATATTGGGACAATTGAAGCACTAGGTCAATGGTAACCATGATCGATACCAATAATGATCCCATGGTCCTATATAACTGGTGTGATGTTATTTGTTTTGTTTGATTCGAAATCTTCGACAACTAATTCTCATTCTTACTTTAATTCATACAAAAGAATGTTCGACCCCAACGTGTCGTTATATATCAAACTAATCATGTACGTTTTTTGGCTTAATGTATCAGTTGTGGGAGGTTTAGTATCCCCTTGTATAACAAATGTTCCAGTCATTTACCTTTAAAAAAGCGGTTAACGTTATTGCTGGACGTCTTTGTGTTGGTATCTTTCAATATCTTATGGCTAAATATGCTTGATTTTTAACCTAATATCGTACCCTCCTGTGGAGGTTACCGTTGTATACACTCTCTGCTTTACATATCCTTGTGCAATATTTTTGTTCCCTGGAATATACAGTGCAATTTTAAAAGCAAAAGTCGAAGGGACTTAAATGAAAAACTTCAGACAAAATAACGAAATGTGTGTACTTACCTGTGCTTGTTTCTTATTCTCCTCCAACGCAGCACCTTAACACCTAAATGAACTGAATTAGCATTTGAAGTCATTGCCTGCTTTACCAAAAGTTGTTTTAAAAAGTATATTATTATATGATTACTAAAAATAACACTCTTTTTGTATGTGTAAAAAGTCTAAAATTTCCACAAGTTGATATCAGCCCGGGTGATATCACACCCCCTTGAAAGTGATATCACACTCCCATAGTATCACTACACGTATTGTCTACTTTTTAATTTTAGTGCTTAGCTTTCGTAAAAGGGAGCTGGATGCTGGAGGCTTGGTTAAGAACTTTGGATTTTGTTTTTATTTTGCTCCTTGCTTCTATGTCTTTCTTTAATTTGGTATCGGTTTTATCATAGACTTGGATAGATCTAACTCCGTGGTTTTATTTATTTTCTTATTTTTTATTCTAAACATGCAAATTCCATTTTGATGTTCTAGGTTTCAATGACTGTGTTAAGCTTTGTATTTATAATGTATGTTATCAATGACACTAACTTATCTGCCTTTCATTGTTCACCTCAAAACAGATTCCAACAATATGCAGATCCTGACTGTTTCGTTGCTGTTATGTTTATCGTAAGCTCGATCTTTTTCTTAACTTTTCTTATCTTAAACTTCAAGTTTTCTGTTAATTTGGCATATCCCCTCAACAGTCATTGATATTAAGTTTTTTATAAATGATGTATGCTTAATGTAAAACACTTTTCATAAAAAAGGCTTTATGTCCATCGCTTAGATTACTTTACTTAGTAGTGCTGTAGTTTCGTGGTTCTGCATCACATTAAAACTATGTTCATTGTTATGGATTTTGGTCCTCTGTAAGTAAAAAGTACTAGCTCAGAAAACGTATATGTAGCTTAATAGAGACACTACCATGCAGACTGTATTTCCAGTCACTGTCAGACCATCTGAACCCAAACCGTTAGGCTTGAAAGAAGTACCCTAGACCATCTGAACCCGAAAAGTTGAGCAGTATAATATATCACTGCAATATCATATGAAACTTTGCTCGTTTAACTTAAGTTGTGTACAATATACTGTGTGAACCCTAACCATGAACTATGAACTGCTAGAACATACGAACCCTAGCGAATTGCCCTCAGATCACATGAAGCCTAGCCGGTTAACTTTGTCGTGGTACCTCATAGGAACCCTAACCGATTAGCTCTATTGATTCAATGACAGACCATCTCAACCATTTACAAACCGTGTTGTACAACAAGCATATTAGGTAATGTCAGTCTTAATTGAACTAAAGTGTCATTTACTTACGAGTTATACAAGTATGAACATCAGAGGTATATCTCAGTATGACGTACGTGTTTTCCAGAATAGTTGAGTCGTCAAACCACCATTACTACGAAGGGTCCAGCTCTGACCATGACTGGGACATCTTCACCTTCACACAGGAGTGGCCAGTGGCCGTCTGCGTCCTCGGCACGCACGAGGTCAGTATCAGTAGTAGATGTCAACGTCACTTTGTTAGGCCAAAGTCAGACATGGGAACCATGAAAAGATGTCTGCCAACAATACCTATATTGTTCATGGAACATGTTTTTACATACACTTTTACTGCTACATATCTCTTTTAGAAATGCGTTTGAACTGCAGAAAATAAGTTGTTCTTATAATACAAAGACAATGACTTCCCAGACAGATACAGACAATTTGAAACCAACTGGTCACCTAGATTTTGTACATGTAATTTACAGAGTCACGTATGTAATTATGTACAGTGTCGATTATGTTTTAATTGACAGCACCATCGATGTGTGATCCCACCCGATGTCCGCACCTGGGGAATACATGGTCTCTGGTGAGTTTATCCCTCATTAGGTCAAAACCTCTATAGTCAAGTCTCTATGAGTAATGAACTTTACTGGTCAAATAAATAACAAATCAATTAATTATCACTGCAAGTGTTATTCAGTTCTAAGTGTTAGTAATTGGGAAAAATCCGTTTTGGTGATGATGATGATGATGATGATGATGATGATGATGATATTCTGTACTGCTTTGTCATTGTTTTCTGTTTGGTACCGTAAATGTGTATTGCTTTTGTGGTAGGGAAAGCTTTACTGAAACAATTTTTACTCACACAAGCACAATAACAACGTTTCTGTACGGTCACTTATACCACGTGTCTAATGAGTATAATCTAGTAAAATGGCACAAGAATCATAATTATCATGTTGCATTTAATCATTTAATCAACGCATGTAGATTGTTGCCAATATCACTAAAAGGTACAGATTACCCGAATATGCACTCATATACTATGTGTAAAACACACGTTGAATTATTTTAGAAAGATAACAAAACTTGACAACACTGCCAGGAGTAGTAAAAGAAATTTGTTTCCTGTTTTTCTATGTTTTTTCATTATGTTTAAAGGTTGTGCATCTTATATCTTGATAGCTTGCACCTTGTCAAACAGAAAAGAAATATATATGTTATATTTGAGTGATGTTCCTGTAATTTTCGTCATCCCTTCATTGGTATTTTCAAATATATATTTAAATATATAAAATATATAATCTACAAACATATACATTTGAATATAAACACAGAGATAGAATTACATGTTCATTATTTTTTCCTAAACCTAGGCCGACAAAGAGGGGAACCAGAGGTCCAACATCCTGTAACAGCCACCTACATTTTGATTTCAATAGTATCAAGGTAAGCTTCCCCCAATATTGAAATCGTGGACAGCAGACAGGTATGGTAGGATCTTCCATTTGTTAGGTTGTAATGCATTACAAATATCAGTATTTATACTCTGAAATGCCGGTCTGAATTGAGTGAAATATGGTCAATGGCAGAAGTTGGCTACTAAAAAGTATTCTTAAGTCATTGGTGATGAATTGAATGTTACCACATTTAAAAAAAATGCTGTAAACTTTGAAAAATAGCCGGGATGTTTACATTTTAACAGTGAGGTCATTTGTTCAGTTTCATAGGGGTATGAAAGAATATGTTGATGGCACAGTAAGTGTATATTCCTGGATCGTGTCTCGTGCTTTTTTCTTTATGTGCGTGTGCGGAAAAAACCCCGGTCAAATGGATTTGAGTATATGACTTGGAAATATTTAAATTCAATTGTTAATTTATTATACAAAACATTTCTATGTTATTCGTTTATCTGTAAATGTCTTACAGGATTTAAACCAGATAAGCAACTATCCTTTGTAACTATTTCTTATTCTTATTAGAAAATATTGTGTTTAAATTCCTCTCTCTATACAGTCGTTAGTGCCAATGATGAAAGTGATGTGGCCGAACATGTACGCCGATACCAGTATGGAGAGTTTCTGGTGAGTGTTTAATAACTTTCAGCCGATAGATATAATAAAACCAAACACTCGTTATCATCTAGATGGACTATTTGATCAATGTCATACGGATATCCTACCGAGACTATATGCTTAAATAACAATAATATAATATATTACATTCTAACTGGACCACCAGTCAAGATAATGTTTACCGTGCTCCTTTCCCTATCTAACCAGACATAATACTTTGTACCTTGCCTAGATATTGAGCTCGACATACTATTTTTCAGTGTTCAATATCATAGATTTGTTTTATCAATAAACACAAGACATCTCAAGCACGCATACAGGCATACATACATAGGGAGATATTAGCTAGGTGGCATATGCTTAGCAGTTAGCGCCTGATAAGGCAGCTCCTGAAAATTCCTTAAAATTGTATTGATTAATATATTATTTAATGTTAATTGTAAAATTTTGTACTGTAAAGAGCTTTAAAGTGGCTTATTCTAGCTAGATGATGCGCTATATAAAATGTTGTTAATTAAAGGGAGCATGAGTGGACGAAACACGGCACATGTGCTTCTACCCTTCCTGCTACTGGTAGCGAGTCCCTGTACTTTCAGAAGGCGCTCGACATCGCTGGAACCTATGGCGCGTCAAAGTGAGATACTTTGTTTACTAAAAACATTTCATTTAGAAAAAAAATTAAGTTTTGGTAAAAGCAACTGTGAAATGTTTGAAAAATAATCTAACAAAATTACAGTAATTACAAAGTATAGGATAACAGGTTTTGAGAGTAACACGTTTAAAAAGCAGCAAAGAAAAGGAGGAAGACAGGAACAGTCACAATTTTCTAGATGTCAAAAATATGATTATTTGTGATAAGGTATGATTTCAAGGTCTAAGATCTAAATAAATTAAGCTCCGTTGCTGCTGCTGGATAATAATCGCAGGAAATTAATTTGACCGAAAAATGGAAACTAAACAGGTGTTTAATCGAGCTAAACTGACAGAATTGTAGACTTTCAATCTCTCATATGTCTATTCCGTCTTTTCGTATTGCAGGGTTACATTTTGTATCTGCTCTTGTGAGCAGATATTGATTATTACGTCATTTGTTTGTGTGAGTAACGTCATAAATTTTGAGAAAACGGAATATGTCTTATCTCCATACGTACTGCAATGCACACTATCTTCGTTCGGTTGATTTCAGACTTCTTGCGAAGGAAAACATAGTACCAAGTTCATCACGGACCTACACGGTAAGTTTACGAATACATGCATACCTTTATATATTTCTATTTCCCTTCCAGGTGTATATCTTTGAAACACTATTAATCCTTGTTTCATGTTCAATTGTATTTTAATCTATAGCCATGGAGATAGTGATGGAATTGTTAGGATCATATACACTGTATATACCGGTATGCTTTTTTCCATGAGACAGGCATATCTTCCCTTGATATCGTAAAAGAAAATGTGTACACGTTTTGAAATTTGAAGATATCGCTACTTTGTAGTTTTGTCATGGAACATGATTCTCTTAGGCGAGGATTCTCATGAAGTATGAACATATTTTCTACATATTTCAAAAAAGAAACAACAACAAAAACAAAAAGACAGTACTTCTACTACTGAGCAACTTAAACTAAAGATTTCCAATTGACTGCCGTATAAAATCCAGTTTTGCTTATCACACATCTGAATGCTTCTTGATTTCTTTATTAATTTCAAATCAATATTGTTGGGTCCTTGCATCAAGTGCAATCCTCAAATAAGGTATGGAAGAAATATTAGCTGGTTTTACATCAGTGGTAGTAAATGAGATCGTGTTTGAATATTATTTCACTATTTTGTTTTATTGTGGCATCAAAAAACTTAGGACATTGACCATTTTTCTTAAATGATATTTGAACCCATAACCGCTTGCGACTTAAGTATACTATCACCCATCAAGTGTTAAAAAGTCATAGAAGCTCTTCAAAACACGTTCGCACAAAATGAATTTGTTTCGAATTCAACACACATGAAAAAAGTGCAAAAAATATCTTTAACACTTGTTTCTTTCCGTGTGTAGCTAGAGGAAATCGAAACTGCCCTGACCCATCAGATAGGAGTCAACGCTATCGTCGAGTGTACCAAGGACGAGGTAGTGTATCTTTGTTTTTGTCTTAATTCGTATCTTTACACAGGTAAAACGTGCATTAAAGAATTCAACGATTTTTTTTTTTTTCATAATCATAGTTAGCCATAGACTTTGCATCTAACACACATATAAAATGAGAGAAACCAACAAGAAGAAACTTAACATATTTACCACCTCGTCATCGGGAAAATAATTAAAATGATTGAAAATATCTGCTTACGTACACAACCTACGCTGCGCAGTACACTATTTCGAATAATAAAGCTTGACTGGCGTTTAATGAAACACACAATAATTTCTTTTTTTTTTCTTATTTTTATATTACATGCTTATTTTTCAAATAGATCATAACAGTAAGACAGCTATTAACTGCTAAAAATTAGTATCGCCATTTCGACGGATTTTAACCAACAAATTGATACAGAGATATCATAAACCAGTAAACTTTACCACATAACCTTATAAGCTTTGATGTCAATGTTGTATTGTAATTTTAATTGACACTTTCTAATAGTGTAAAATGTTTCACTGATAAAGCATGGAAAACAGAAAATATGATGACAAACATTTAAGTAACTCGAATTTTATATAAACTGAACGATGTGTAGTACTAGCCACCTTACGGTCGAATGACAGTAGTTCCTCTGAATATGTTTTCTTAAAGCGAGATAATTTCAAACTTTTTAACTTAACGTATACAGGGTAATACTAAAATGTCAATGAACCCCTAGCCGAGAACTATTTATCTAATACATTATATAATGATATATCTACAATGCATATGAACTATAATTATTCTACTTAATTTGTTCAGCGACCCAAAATGAATATCTTAATTTATATAGGGTAGTCCAATACCGAAATGTCCATGAAATCATACACAATAACTACTTATTTAATCATTTCATGTTTATTACATTAATATTTTATATATGATAATATTTATGCAATGTATATGGAATTTCTAGTGTTTCTTTTTGGTTGGAACATATTAACATGTGCATTACCAAAACCATGATCAATCGTAGATAAAACTGTTATTCAACTACATCACTCTCAATGGTACGATATTTATAGAATTTATTTTTATGTTTGTTTTTACTAGAAAACTGGTAAAATGATGCTATACGAAGTGGAGATATGTTTTGACAAACAATTTAATCCCGTCGATTGCTATGATTCTAACGGAAGCAACGATTATCATACTGACTGTCCCCACTCAGATTTGGAGTACCCTCCACTGGGAACCAGCGGCTTTGTCTCTCCTATCGCAGGGTAAATCGCAATCGTCTTCTAAGAGTTAATGTTGACGATCAATGGGAATTTTGAAAGCTAATTAGCGTTTTTGAGAGAGAATTTGATGTTATCATGGCTGATATTTTATTTTTCAATTAATAAAAATTACAAAATCAAATGGATTAATTTCCGTATTTATTTTTCTTAATAGATGTACGAACTACATGTTTAAACAATTAAGTTGATGCAAAAAGCCAAACAAAGTATGCGTTTTTAGCTCCCCTGTCCGAAGGGCAAGTGAGCTTATGCCGCAGCGTCCGTCGTCAGTCCGTCCGTCCGTCCGTCAACTTTTCATTTAAAACGTTACTAGTCCTGAACGGTTAAGAAGATTTCGACTAAATTTGTTCTGGATCATACTTAGGCCAAGGGGACTCAATTTTGTATAACCGGTAGGCGGGGCCCAATAGGGGAAATAGAGGTAAAACCTTTAAAATCCTTCTCCTACCGTAGGAATCAAGGGATTTTATCCTAATTTGGTCTGGAGCATCTTTGGCCCAAAGGGACTCAATTTTGTACAAAAAGTGCATGTGGCCCTCCTAGGGGCAGCGGGACAGGGCAAGATAGGTGAAATAAAGGTAAAACGTTTAAAATCCTTCTCCTACTGCAGATATTAAGGGATTTTATCCTCATTTAGTCTGGAGCATCCTTAGACCAAGGGGACTCAATTTTGTATAAATAGTGGGTGTGGCACCCCTGGGGAAAAGGGGCGGGGCAGAATAGGTCAAATAGAGTTAAAACCTTTAAAATCCTTCCTCTACCGTAGGGATTAGGGGATTTTATCCGAAATTTACCTGGAGCATCCTTAGGTCAAGGGGACTCATTTTTGTATGAAAGGTGGGTGTGGCCCCGCTGAGGACAGAAGGGCAGGGTAGAACTGGTGAAATAGAGGTAAAACGTTTAAAATCCTTCTCCTACTGCAGTCTGGAGCATCATTAGGCCAAGGGGAATCACATTTGTATAAATGGTGGGTATGGCCCCCCTAGGAGGCAGCGGGACGGGGCAGAATAGGTAAAATAGAGGTAAAACCTTTAAAATCCTTCTTCTACCGTAGGGATAAGGGACTTTATTAGCTCACCTGTACGAAGGGCAAGTGAGCATATGCCATGATGCAGCGTCCTTCGTCCGTCCGTCCGTTTGTCAACTTTTCCTGTATATCGCAACTAGTCCAGAATGGCTAAAGGGATATCAGCATAATTATTTTCTGAAGCATCATTTTGCATATAGGTATAACTTTAAAATTCTACTTCTCGAGCAGGGGGAAATGGATTGGAACCTTACTTGGTCTAGAGCATCCTTTGGCAAAGGGGAGTCAGCATAGTATAAATGAAGGATGTGGCCCCTCTGGGTACAGGGGGGGGGGGCACAATAGGGGAAAGATAGGTAAATCCTTTTAAATCCTACTCTTTGAGTACAGGTAAGGGGATGTGAACCTATTTTAGTCTGAAGCATCCTTGGGCTAAGGGAGTTTAATGTTGTATAAACAGAGGGTGTGGCCCTCCTGGGGGGAAGAGGGTGTGGAGCTTAATAGGGGATATTTAGGTATAACTGTAAAATCATACTTCTTGAGCAGGGGTATATGGATTGGAACATTACTTGGTCTGGAGCATCCTTAGGCAAAGGGGAGTCAGCATTGTATAAATGAAGGATGTGACCCCTCTGGGTACAGAGGGGCGGGGCACAATAGGGAAAATATAGGTGAATCCTTTAAAATCCTACTCCTTCAGTACAGGTATAGGGATGTGAACCTATTTTGTTCCGGAGCTTCCTTGGGCAAATGAAATTTAATGTTGTATCAACTATAAATGGAAGGTGTCGCCTTCCTTAGGGCAGAGTGGTGGGGCTCAATATGGGAAATATAGGTATAACTGTAAAATCCTACTCCTTGAGCAGGAATATATGGATTGGAACCTTATTCGGTCTGGAGCATCATTTTGGCAAAGAGTCAACATTGTATAAATGAAGGGTGTGGGTACAGAGGGGCGGGGCACAGTAGGGGAAATAAAGGTCAATCTTTAAAAACCCAGCTAGCTTTTGTATTGTGTACTGGTAAAGGGATTTGAAATTAATTTGGTCTGTAGTATCCTTAGTCATAGGGGCAAATATAAAATTTTCTGGTGAAGGCCAAACTTAAGTTTACCTGGGATGAAAATTTCCAGGTACACAACAAACGGTACAAGAAAATGAGGTCAGTAGGACAAGGGAATTGTGAATAAATCAACATTAAATGAAAAGGTAATCATTTCATTGACATGAAAAATTGAAAATGTACATTATGTGTTGGTATTTCTTTTATGTTTAATTTTAGATTTTTTGTATGAGCATGTATTTAATCTGGGTTTTTTGTCTTGATCTAATCCAGAAAAGTTTGTGTCTCATTTAAATTCCGTGGAAGAAACGTTTATTGATTTGCGTGCCTTAATGTGAGAAACTCAAGAAAACCACGATAAAGAGTGAAAATAAATGCTGAACTTGTCCAAGTCTAAGATTATGTCATGAGTGCGCTTGAACGGAATGACCGAAAATAACAATTTTGATAACCCCGATTTTTAATGCGCAATTCCAAGTTATCGAGATAAGACGATGGAAGTTGCGCTTGTTAACCTCGATCTAAAACGTTATTTTATAAGCTGATACAACGTTCAGATTGCGCTGTTATGATGAGTGTGATTGATGACATGTTCGAGAAATCTTTCGATCGTTCGTAAAATAATGTTGACTGTAAAATTCAAGCTTTCGATTGTAATCATGCCTAGTCCGTGTTTTAGCGAGGGAGGGAACTCGACGATAATTCGTCAGTCAGTGTTTCTACTTTGTCTCTTTAGACAACGTAGTAACAACTTTGTCCGACATTAAAGTATCGTTTTAGTTTCATATATTATCATAACGTGACGGTCACCCTTAAAAGCGTCTTCAAACGACAACAAGCGTCTTCAAGTGCGACAAGCGTCGCCAGACAAAATCTTTAAAAATACCGAATAAAGTAAGCGACATCAGAAGATATGTTGTTAATATGACTATAATACATCTCTGTACTGAATTTCAATTTGATATTTTAAAAAATGACCAAGTTATGATGAATTGAATTTTACGATCAGCGGCGTGGCACAAGTGTGTGAATTAAACTCCGCAGATCGTGAAGCGTCTTCAGACTTTACCTCTAAGATTAACCTTTAAAGTAAGCGACACCAGAAGATATGTTTTTCATATGACTTGATACACCTATGTACCAAACTTCAGGTCGATATTTGAAAAAAAACATAGGCTCACCCTAAACATATTTTTGAACAGTTTGTAATAGATCATGAATGCTGCGAGTGCGAGCGTAACTTTGTTTTAAAAATAACGCTATTTAAGAAATGTATTATGAACAGCTGGTGTTGTCTAGTTAACCTGTAGGCCAAATGCGTATGCTTTTATATTCTGAGTGAGATATTAGAGAAAATATTATCATAACTTATGTAACAGTTATAGACTACCTTTTTTATTTATATGTACTGTATGCATAATTTTCTTTTCAAAATCAGTTACTCGAATTCGATTCAGACTTCAAAGAAAGACAACTCGAATATTTTAAATTGCACCTTTTATTGGTGTTTTTTTTCAATATGGATATTCATGTTGTGATCATCCAAGCATGAAAATATATGCAAAATTATTATGTAAATTTTTATATTGATTGTTAAAATCAGGGTTGTTAGCCCTTTATAATTACCGCAGTTGTAGAGCTAACACCATCTTTATGAACCGCATATATGGTTAAACCATAGATCTGAATCCATGACTGATGACATTTATTAGGATTAGCAATATGAAGTAGTACGCCCTGGGATCAGTAGGGAAATTAAACATGTAGCTATATTTCCTGAATAGTCCCTCAGACAGACCTTAACCCTGGAAGTTTTGTTTCAGTGCAATAAGGTATTACACAGCTTCAACAAAGTATGTTCACATAGAGTTGCATATGCTAGGTAAAACATCTATTATGTTTTGGGTTTTTTTTTACATCTTATTAATAATAAATCTTATAAGTGCCCTTTATGAATTTCTAATTACCTCTATCTACTTATTCATATTGACCTGAAAACTTTTCAAAAGATTCAAGATTCAAGAAATTGTATTTACCGTCGCATATTACAAACAAAATAACATTAGCACTGTAGTGCTATTCTTGCGACAAACATAGGTATACACATGTTAAGCTATTTAACAACAAATATCACAGAATACTACAATGGCAGAGAGACATAAATCTATACATTACATAGCATATCACATATAAAGTAGAAATAATATTACAAAAGACAAATTCCTGAGGTGAATATCACTATGTGTTGGTGCAAATTGCACAAGAGCAAATCTAAACGATCTCTTGCCATACATTGTGGTATTCACCCTTGGAATCTTCAGAGTGTCCTCCCTTCTAAAATTATATAAAACATTTCTTTGTTCAATAAGATCGTGTAAAAAATGATGGTGAAGTGCCATTTATAATCTTGAAAGTTTCTATGGCCATATTTTTTAAACGAGCAACATGTAAAAAATCAAGCTTGTTTCTTTTCAATATTTCTAAAACTGATGACGTGTAGTCATTTTCAATAAAACGTAGAGCCCTCTCTTGGATCTTCTCCATCTTTCTCGTGTTTGGCAGGTTACAAAAGTGCCAAGCCAAAGGACAGTAGTTAAAATAAGATAGGATAAAAGACTTAAAAATAGTAATCTTTCCTTTCTTTGTAATCTCTTTAAAACTGCTAATTGCTTGGATGCATTCCTACATAAAGCTTGACACAGTCTTGAAATAAAATCTCTGAACCATCAATGCTAAAAGACGATATTGCTTCATGGGTTTTCTTTCCAATACAAATAGCCTGGAATTTACCTGGATTGGCCTTCATACCATTGGAGGAAAACCAATCTATTAGCGTCTTGCCCACCTCCTCCAGAGTTTTCTTTAAAGTGTCAAGGCAGTTACTTATATTTGATAAAGTATAACCAATGGCGTAATTATACAGTGAACATTTATTTACAAAACCAAACATATCCTATCATATCATAAAAAATATTAAAAAACAGTGGCCCTACAATCGAGCCCTGGGGGACCCCTTTTTGACATTCCCCCATTCGCTTACCTCCGGCCCCAGCCTAATCTGCTGCTGCCTGTCACTAAGGTAGCTACTGATGAAGTCCATAGCGGCCTCACCCAGCCCATAGGATCGCATCTTACCCAGTTACAGGTTATGAGGAATGCAGTCGAAGGCCTTGGACAGGTCCATCAATATAGCGCCGACATATTGTCGGTTATCCAAGGCCTGTCTCCAATCCTCAAGAAGTCGCATCAGAACAGACTGACACCCGAAGCCGCTCCTGAAGGAAACTTTGATATGGTAGGTAAAATACTGACATTTATACAGTGGTTAAAATGTGAGGTAAATATTGAGGTAAAAATACCGGACTCGGTTTCAGAATCTTGGCCGAGATCCCATCTACCCCCGTTGCCTTTTTAGTATCCAAAGATGACAACATTTTTTTCATTTCAGTCTCACGAACATGTTGAAAAACTTTCTCTCCCAATATTTACATTTGAAGTTTCTATATTTAAAATACTTGGGTGAGTATTAAAATCAGTGACACCTTCCAGATCAGTACCAATATCACTGGCAACATTTGTAAAAAAAATCTTTAAAAACATCACACACATCTTTTTGTTTTGATACTATTACATCATTTTCTTCCTCTGATCCTCTGGTCAGATTTACATTTGTTGGATAAAAAAAAGGTTTTACAGTTGGCCAAAAATCTTTAGATGATGGACCACCTCCACAACGTTCTTTCAAATCGATTCTGACAGATTGTCTCCTAAGTTTTTCTGCAAAGTTTTTCTGTTTCCTATAGGCTTCCCAATTGTCTGAAGTTTTAAAAAGACGATATTTATTTCGTAGCATGGATTTCATTAAAACAGCCTTAAGTAATTTATTGTTAAAGAAAGGAGGTTTATTGATTCTTGGTCTCATGTTATTAAAGTCCATATCATTAATACTTCCCACGTGTCCTCACATTCCCTAACACTCATGGTATACAATCCTATCAGTGTATTTAGGGGTCTAGATATTGTTATCTTAAGGAAGAAGTTTATTGAGACAATTTGTTCCTTGTCTAAATCAGGAAGTTTAAAACATGTATTTAAGTAAAGGTTTTTTTGTGTACATAGTACTAGTGTATATACATACACTCGTGCTTGCTTGTGATCCATCTGGATATAAAATAACGTTGAATTAAGAAGTCTTTAACAAAGTTTTGTAGTGTTTAACCTGAAGTGATTTTATTTTCCAGATTTTCACAACAAAGTTGGCAGTACAAACATGGTGTCACGTTGCGTTATTTTGGTATTAGTAGTTACTTTGATTGATTGTATTAGGTAAGTACTGGAACAAGCACCTGAACATTGATACATGTATACTGTACAGCTGTAATGATTGTGCACGTTTGTTACGCTATTAAATAACATGTATATTATTTGTGGACCCCACAGTCACGTTAAATGATTAAAATGGGTATATTGTGTTACTTTTTTGTTATCAATATATACATGTAGCGAACTGATCATCAGTGACCAGGTAGCACATATTGATAGAGCGCCTGTCTATAGTTTTGGGGTCCCGGGTCCCAGGTTTGGAATCCCAGTCTGGCTGTACATTTCTCTTCCTCTATAACCATATGTTGGATTTTTCTATAATTTGACTAAGTAAAATAACATCATATGTAGATGTATATGAAGAAAGGAATTTACAATTTGACTTTTTTTCCTGGAGTTGTGACCCTTGAAACTTTAAATTACCAGAAACCTTGTAAGTGCAAGGTCCAATACTTCCTTCACTGTTGGATTTATTTTTTACTTGGCACAGTGAAAATATTTTATATGTAGATGTGCATGAAGAAGGGATTTGTGATTCGATTATTATACCTCCTGCAAACAAAGTTTGAAACCTCCATAAAATGAAGCGGGGGTTTATGTTTGTAGTCTTGGTCACAGTTTCTCTAGTTCTAAACTGTGTTTTAAATATTTGACTGAGAAGGCTTTTTTTAGTCCCCTACCAGTGAAACCGGGGTAAATATTTTATTTTTCAATTTTCGACATGTTTTCCCACTTAACTGCTGATTTTATGTACACATGTTTTTTAGGGGTCTAGCATTAATGTTGTTTAATGAAAGTGGAAATATGATTTTGTTTTTGAATTTTTGACATGTTTTGGACTTAACTATCTTGGCCAAAATCTGCAAGTTAAAGTTGAAGTTTAATGGGAGAGGGGGTGGGGGGTAGGCGACATGTACTGATTCATCAATACCTACAGAATGCTTGTTAAAAATGTATTTGTAATAATGACAATGAATCAAAGCAGCACTAAACTCCAGATATTGATATTGTGTTCTGCTATTCACAGTCCTATTACCTGCAAAAATGACACCTGGGACCGGTTCATCTTCACCCAAGAATGGCCGATAGCAGTGTGTGAGAAAGCTAATGAAACAGTAAGTTGACTGTTATATACTATAGAATTATTGAATGTTGTAGATATAGTTGACTGTATGGAGGTAGAAGGGTTGAATGTTTAATAATAAATCCCTGTAAACAGCTCCCTCCTGATGAGGAATCCTTGTTTACAGGGATTTGGGGGCCGGTGACTGTTTGAAGAAATACTGATTTCACTATCCAGAAGATCAGAAGATTAATGTACAATGAAGTTAAAAAAACTATTTGTCTTATTTCAGGGACACAAGTGCCTTATTCCCTCTCAGGTTAATAGCTGGGGTATACATGGACTATGGTGAGTATCCTTTAAAGATCAGTGAAATATCAGAAATTATCAGTGTGATGCCTATGTAGTGAATACTTACAAAAGCAATTTTAAGAAGTATGTCACTTTGACATTTATCCTGAGATAGATATACAGCTTGGCAAATAAAGAAATCATTATGGTTGGGGTACCATGGATTATCTAAAAACATTCTCAAAAGAGCTATTCCTACAATTCTTGGTGCAGACAAGGGTACAAGTCTGCCATTCTGACGACAACTCTAGCTTCTGTTTACTGCCACAGATATTCTTTTAAGCTGTAGATGAAGCGACAGAAGAACAAGTGGTTGCTTTGTTCATACATTCAGTTATGAACAAAAAACTAAGTAATTGATAACAATTTTGATGGCATTTCCTGTCAGAAAATAGCAGAAAACGATAAGGTAATGGAAAAGGAATGTATTAGAAAATTTAGTGATTTTCCTCTAAATTATGTATTAACCTATTGTAAATACTATATATATTTCACTTGGTTGTATGGCAGAACTTACCGATATTTTCACTCATGCTTTGCACTCGTGAAAAATATGTATTTTATGGACATAAACGATGTAACATTGTATTAATGATGTAACTTTTCTATAAATGGACTGGTAAATAATACACTAAAGATATTTAACATTTCTTTTAACATGTATAAATATTTTTTACATCATGGTACTTTTCATTACCATTCAGAAGAGAAACAGTAGTTAGAAATAAGTTCATTTAGTTATGTTGTATAAAGTCTATATTTTAAGACGTCATGTATATATATTGTGCATAACTGTATTTATGCCAAATCATGGTACAATATAATTGATTGTCTTGTTTTTAACCACACACTTCACAATGAAAACTACACAATAACAGATATTGGCAATACTGCATAGTGTACACAAATGACACATGTTACAAAACGTTTATAAAGAAAATCACATTCATTTGTGCATACCAGTTCACTTGGGTGTCTACAAAACGTTTATAAAGAAAATCACATTCATTTGTGCATACCAGTTCACTTGGGTGTCCCCATGGTGTTCTCAGGTACTTCCTTGTCAGTTATCAAATATCGTCCAGTTTTACGCAACATCGTTCTTTAACAAGGAAGTGAAGGTGCATGTGCTTTCCATTTCCGCATTGTTAAGGAAAGATTTCCCTGTTAATCTGAACTTCTATGTAGTTGCGTAATTAATAAACCTATCTAGTACGCGGCTGTTGATTGAGGAAGAAAGGAATAGGAAAAGTTGGAAATATTCAATATATCATACACTGGATTGATGTGTTGTGAAGAAGTCCAAAGATTAAGAGTGTTTAAGGAAATATTTCCTTTTATCATCCAATTCCTAGTGATCATAAAAATGAATTATCCTCTACATCAAAGAATCGAAGGGATATTGTAATGATGCTGTTATGTTCATCTGGATTCTTTTCTGCATAACTGTGTGACCTTTTAGTTTGACCAATTAAACTTAAACATATACAGGGCTATCATAATTAAACTTTTTATTTGGAATTATTTTGCTGATAAAAAAGGCATAGGTGAAGGTCACTCTAACTTATATAGGCCTATCATAATAAAACGTCTTGTTTGGAATCATTCTGCTGGTAAAAAGTTGAATGTGAAGGTCACTCTTTAAAGGGACATCACGTGAAAAGCGATATTTTTTTAATGAATGTATGTATTGTATGCACTTCCACTTATGTTACCTCGCTATCCCCATATTCATAGTCCGTTCCAAATGTCCAGTTTGACCACTTGAATTGTTCGGGAAAGCCCTGCTAAAAATAGCGCCGATAACATCACCTGACTAGGCAGTAAACACAAGTGGTGCGAGCGAGATGAAACGGTTTCCAAAGGGGCCCCCAGAGAGGGGCGTCAGGCAAATGCAACTTCTTACCGCACTATGAAACCAAGTAATATGATTTCTAAGTCCGTATTAAAACCTATTGAACAGTAGTTATTCATCATCAGAAGTTAATTGCACACTTGCCAATATTCAGAATTTAAATTTATTTAGCTTTAAACATATTTGTTGCCAATTAAATTGAACATGGGATGGGGCTCACGTTTTTACAATTTATCACAGCCTTCGCCCGTCAAACATTTACAATTAAATGTCAACAATGATAATAGGCATAAACATAAAGTATATATATATAAATATATATTGAATTCAGTACCGGAATGTGACATCTGTACGGGGCTAAACACCTTTCTTCAACCATGGGACAAACCTTTCTGTAAAAAGGAATATTCACGAGACGAATATCCCTTTTCAAATGTTGTCATAAAGTGCATATATGCAATGACAAACTACACGCGTATAAAAAAGAGAAACGTTTGTGACTTTTTTTTATTACATTGTACAACTCAATATCTTTGGCAATTTGGTTTCTTCTATACCATGCATATACATTTATGTATACTTTTTCCCCACTTTCACTGTCTCCATACGCTAACACTTACAGTAACATCACACACACTAAACTGTATGGCAAAACCACTACGTGTACATGTAGAATATGTGTCAAATATGGGACGTGTTGAGATACTTGATAATTATATTTTTTCAATACTTTTCATAGATTAAAGCATTCTTGTCAATGGACCCTTTTTATGTTGAGCCAACCTTTCTTTAATCATTTAATTTTTGTCCGAAACAGAAGCCGTAGTTATCGGCAGCACGCGTCATTTTTACAACGGAAACAAATGTTTCTTCCCCTGTTTTCAATACGTATTCCGATTCTATCTGAAGTCGAAAATTAATTCTTTATAGAGAAAAGGTTGTTACATGATCATACATTCTAAGTCAACAACATATGAAAACATGTACTGTTGAAAAATTACAGATACAGATACAGATACAGAAGCTTTATTTTACGTCGAATATTATAAACATACAACATAAGCTACGAAGAGCTTGTATTTCGACAAACACATGTAAAGAACAAAATACATAACAAGAAAAAAAATACAAAATACACATACATATTGAAACGCTAAACAGTAAAAATATGAAGCATATAAAGCATTTACAGCACATTTGCAGAAAATAAACATATGACAAAAGCATCAAATTGTAAACTACAAAGCTGACAAAAAGCACAGAGCCATATGTAAAGCTGTACGTTACATTTTAAACAGAGAAAATTACACTTCAGCCAGCACAGGACACATACGAAGCAGGAAAAAATAGGTAGCCCAAAACGCTAACCAACACATTAAGTGCATCCGCACTCGGGCCCGTTCCACCTCCGGATCAGTCTGCCGAACTCGGAGTAGTTCTCCACTTTACGTAATTCGTTCGGCAGGCTGTTCAATATGCGGGCGCCCTCATAGCGGAAGGACCTCTTTCCATACCTGGTGGTGTTGACCCTTGGTAGCTGTGCTGTATTTTCATTCCTTAATGAATAAGATGAACATTTTATATTTATTATTTCTTGTAGGTAGTCAGGAGATAACTTATTAACAATTTTAAAAACTTCACAAGCAATGAGTTTCATGCGAGTAATATGTAAATAATATGAGTCTGTGCTCGATAAAATATCCTTGTAGTCTGAGATATAATCATTTAGTACAAAACGGAGTCCTCTCTCCTGGATTTTTCCATCTTGTTTGTGCTAGATTTATTAGCTCACCGGGTCCGAAGGACCAAGGTGAGCTTATGCCATACCGTGGCGTCCGTCGTCCGTCGTCCGTCGTCAACAATTTCTTTAAATGACTTCTTCTTCTTAACCACTGATTGGAATTTAACTAAATTTGACTGGAAGCATCCCTAGGTGGTGGGGATTCACAATTGTACAGATGGTGGGGCTGACCCCCCAGGGGGCTGAGGGGCGGGGCAAAAAGGGGGCAATTTGGCTATATTGCTTTAAGCGACTTCTTCTCTGGAACTAAGAGATGGATATCAACCATATTTGACTGGAAGCATCCCTAGGTGGTGGAGATTCAAAATTGTACAAATGGTTGGGCTGACCCCCC